TGCTCTGCACTTCAGTCCGGACTCTGATTTCTTGGAGATGGATTCTTCCTGACCTTTCTGATTACTCAAACTTTTTGTAGTTTCTTTTTTTTTTTAATTTGACGTTGTTTTTCGGGGGGGGGGGGATTGTATATTTTTTTGTGGACGATGGTTCGTTTTGGTCGTCTCACATCCTGGCACAGCTGGGACCTGCTGCACGTGGACTCGGAGATTCCTGAGTCGCCTCCTCCTGACAAGATACTGACTGACAGTAAGGTGAGAGGTTTCCCGACGACTGAGGATGCTGCTGCTTCAGTCTGCAGTTCAAATAATAATTATATTATAATTTTTCTCCACTGAAGATACGAAGAATACTTTTTATAATCGCAGTTGCTAAACATTTGTTGGTTCTAGCTTCCAAATGTTGTAAACCATCTGTTTCCAGTTTATTAGGGACGCTGAGCTCAAACTAATCTATAATAAAACAGCCCGGAGGTAAATCCTTGACTAACTTTTCGATTAAACTTGATGATTTTTATGGTGCAAATAACTGATCTTGTTATTTACATCAATATGAGGAAGCTAAATATTAAAACTATAAAATGATAAAGTTAAATTAACGCCATCCTGAGACACCTTCAACAGAAACCCTAGGACTGTAGCTTTCATGAAATTAGAGACTGAATGTCTGTGGGGTTTCTGTGGATGTGAAGACGTCATGACTGACATTTAATAAACAAAACAAGGAGCCGGTTTATCGAGGCGATAATCAGCGGACTAATTAACGAAGACAATAATCATCTTCAAACCCCCGAACGGTTAATTTACGTCAAAACTCAATTTGCAAGGTCGTTCGGCCATTGTCCTGCACGGGGTTAGTTTTGAATCAATCTTATCTGCTTTACTGGAAACATCAGTGAAGTGTGACGACTGCAGGGATCACATTACCGTCGCTGCGACAGTGACGGGTGGGGGTTCACGTCAAAGGATCATTGTTTTGAAAACTCATCTCTCACCTCAGGTCGAGCGTGTGTGTGCTCGTGTGTGTGTGTGTGTGTGAGCTGTGGTCATCAGGGCCGAGTTTGGTGGAACTGAAACGGCCTTGAAACGAACCTCATGTCGACCGCTGGGCGTTTCTTTTAGTTTCTGTTTCCTGGTTGTGCACACGTGATGTATGTGAAAAGTGTGTGTGTGTGTGTGTGTGTGTGTGTGTGCCCAGTCTTTCAGGAAGGTCAGTGTCGTGCTGTTTTCCCATCGTTAATCAACCCACCTGATCAAGGGGAGCTGTTATCAGTTGACTCACATAAAGGGCAGTAGCAGTGGGGTCTGTGTGGGGGGGGGGGGGGGGTTTTTTTTAATACAATCCCGACCCATTTAAAGATTTTCTCCCTCCCCGGCCAAGGTTAATGCCACAAACCGCGGTGATAAGATAAGGCCGTGAGCCAACACAGGGCTTGATATCATTAACCTGACCAGCCCCCTCTGCTGCGGACCCCACGGACCAAGTTCCCAGATGGCAACAAAGAGAGCTCAGGGTTTCACTGCCCTCTGTCCTGACTGACAGGTTTACACAGGAGGCCCAAGGGAAACCTTGTAAACATAATTAGTTAGGACGACAAGACGAGAGCGGCTTAGTGTTTACTGTGAGGGTCTCTTTGCCCGGGCTGAGTGTTATTACCTGCAGAAATACGAGCAGCTCTGACCACCACAGTGATTTAGGGCTGAGAGCAACAGTTTGTCTCTTCTATCAGAAATATCGAGTAGTTCTGAAAGTCCAAGGAAACATATCCACCCACAGGCTTGTGAAGGTATTAAAATAAATCTAAACTCTTGCACAACCAAAAACCATTCGTCTGTTATCGCAGCAGTTTCATATCAGTTTTCACTTTTGGTTCCACAAAGTTTTGTTTTTTTTACAGTTTCCTGCTGCTCCTGGAGGAGGTGGCGAGCTGACGCTTATCTCCTGGGCATAAGCCGCCTATTAAATGTGCTGAAACAAGCAAGTAAACAAAGGGAATTTCCCCTTTGGTCATTATCGGGGCTTTTCTTTCCTTGTTTTGGCGAACGAGCCCGGCATTGTTCAAGGTCAGCAGGCAAAACAGTGATCGGAGATAACGTTAAGAATAATGGACCGGCTTCCAAATAAGAGTTTACAGTTTACAGCCTGTGATTCTGACGCTTTCATGCGGCTGATTTCTTGAACTAAGCTGGAAAAAGATGATCAAAGTGAAAAAGTAAAACTGTTCCGAGTGGTTTGTTTATTTCTACTTCTGAAACTCCACAAACCACGGAGATCCCCGCAACCTGTCACTCAGACTCCTCCTCCAAATATTCACATCAGCCTCCTTTTCTTTTCTTTTTTTTTTTTGGGCCCAGGCCCTGCCTCCTCTTTCCTGCCCCGCACAATGAGGCAGGATCCTCCTGGTTGCTATGACTTCAGGCCAGTGCCTGTTTGAAATGCAAGCAGACTGGGCGCCACAGCGAGAAGGTTTCACCACTGAGCGGTCAGCACAGGACACAGATAACGTCCCGGGTTCAAAGGGAAGCTCAGGCACAGCAGGCGACCCGGACCCTGTCAGCTGGAACGCAGAGTGTGTGAACTTCAACACAAGTCTCTTGATCTTGGGATCTTGTCGCCTCTCAAGCCTCTTGGACCGTCTCATCACAAGCCCGGGCGGTGAGGGCGGCGTGGATGTGTGTGTTTCGCGGTGGCAGTGGAGAGAGAGGCGAGGCCAGGGGCTGAGAGAGAGAGCAGCAGCTGGCTCCAGAATGGGCTGCGACCCATGAATCCAACCGGAGGATTAGGATGGTTTTTGTTACGTTTGACATGCCTCTGGCTTCAATGGTGAGCACTGTTAATGTGGTGGGAAACTTCCCTCGCCGTGTGATCGTATAGTTACAACTTCCTGGATGTGTTTTTTGCCTTTGAGAAACTAGTTCATGTGATTTTTAAAGACACATCGTTATATTTGTTTATTTTCAGCCTCACGTTCATGATCTGATTTGTAGAAAAAGTCTTTATCTCTTCTGTTTTAAGTGTCTCAGCTCTTGGCCGAGCGTTTGTCCGTCAGTGTTCTGGCAGCAGCTCAGGGTCCGGACTTTCTGTTTGTTCACTGACACCAGTGTGTTTGAACTCTTGGACCAGATATTCTCCCTTTAGAAAAAAAAAAACCTCCCCTTCATGGGTCCAGGCTCGTTTCTCTTTCACTGAGGCGACACAGAACTTTGTCCCATTTCCCTCTGTGGTGTTTGTTTCAAAGCCAGCACGTCTATTTGCAGTTAGGTCACTCTCCTCTTTGGTCGTCATTCAAGAAGATAAAAGGACTAAAAGCTGTTTTTAAAACTTGCCGGACCCCCCACTCAGATTAACCATCCCGTTATGCAACCCTGCACAGGCCACTTGTGGGGCTTTTACTCCACTTAAGTGGCTCTGCGTAAGGGACGTGGACGTTTGTCCTAAAATGGGAGTCTGTGCAATGCAGAACAAATTTTCTCCGGAGCCACTCATAATATTTACATTTCATTTCTGTTTAAACTTTCAGTTCCATATACGAAACCACAAACTGTGTATTTTGATAAATCTTTATCAGTAGTGTTCAACGGGCTTGTTTACTTCTAGAGGCCGTGATGGACCTCCTCAAAATGTCTTTCACACAGTTTGTCGTCTCTGTTGTGAGACGTGCGTCCTCCCGTCGCTGTTCGAAATCCAGTGTTCAAACTCATTTCTGCAGTTTGTTTGATTCACTCACACACAGCTCTGTAAACAGCCTGTCTGTGTATGTATGTGCAGACTGCCTCTGATTGGTGCAGGTTGAATCTGCAGCCTGAGGGACGGACTGCAGGACGGGAGCGACGAATCTGTAAATTCAACGTTTGTCAATAAGTAAAACGTCGCTAAATGCGGTTTTACTGGTTAAAGTGTGTTTACAGCTGGAGATTAAGATCCTGTTAACAACCGGTGTCCATACAGATGTTCAGATTGTAAGTACACATGTACAGGCAGAGACCAAGACAAAGACAGTGAGGAATATGAAAACATTATTTAAAATAACTAATGTGGGAGCCTGGAAGCTACGATGACCCGGTTAGCTAACGTCCCCGTCGTTGTTTCCAAGCATCAAACAGACGGAGATGTGAAGAGCAGCGAGGACGTCAACAGAAGTTTCGATGCAGCCTGAGAGATCTGATCCTTAATGCGTCCTTAGGCGACCACATTCTTTATCATGAACATAGTGTAAAGTCCTCAGTGGCCTCAGCGGCTTGAAATCCGATAAATATGCTGTGACGTCACGATGCCTGGTGTTTTGATTGCATTGTGTGTTTGTGTGTGTGTGTGGGGGGGGGAAGAATCTCGTTGGAATGGTCGCTCAGTGTCAGTAACGGTGTCAGTGTCCTGGAATGTAGGTTCCTCGTCTGGGGGGTCGCTCGGCGGCCTGCTGACCCTCAACCAGCAGATTCCTCTCCACTGACACTAACCGCAAAAACAACTGCTTCCTCAGATACCGAGGTGGCTCCTGTTTGTTTGCTTTGCCGCTGCTCGTAAAGTGGACAGAGATTGCACGAGTGAGGGTGCACAGCAGGGGCCCGCTGACAGGGTAACAATGGAAGAGGAGGACGAGGGGTGGGGGTGGGGGTGGGGGGGGCGATGGCCAGGCCCGGGCCGTCTGTTCTTCTGGAACAACCTCCCGCCTGCTCCTTGTGATGTAATGAGCATTCACTGCGAGGAAGTGGCAGTCCTTCCCTCTCCTGTTTGTGTCTGACCATTAGGACGGCTTTAACGGTCCCGCTGATGTCATCCTCTGCAAAGAATTCCCCTCTGATTTCCTGTTTGTCCCGTCCTTGTGTATTTCTCCCTCTCTCCGTCATTGTCTCTTTCCATCCGTCCGACTGGAAACTTTTGTGTTTCCCAGTGCTGCGATAAAATCACTCGTTGCCCACTCGACGTCTGCCTTCTTTAATTTTCACAATTTGTGTCCTTTCATTGTTTCTCTGACGCTACGGTTTTGTCTCTGTCCTCTCAGGGTCAGGCGCGACGGAGGAAGAACATGACAGAGTTCCTCGGGGAGACGAATATTCCAACCCCGGAGGCCCTGGGACAGATCGGTGGCTCCCTGCCCAGCGTTGGGCCCGGGCCTGACAGCTGGAAGAATCGCGCTGCCAGCCGCTTCAGTGGCTTCTTCAGCTCCGGAGCAGGGCCCTTCGGCAAGGTAACGCTGATCAGGCGTCACGTGAAATGCATTTCCTCTTTCTCTCGGCTTTTAAAAACAGGCAACGACTTGGCGAGACACGTCTCAGATTAGAAAAACATTTAAAAAACAAACAGAACGGTAGCGAGCAGCAGTGGGAGGAGGTCAGAGTTCCGTATCCCCCCCGAGTCCTGGTGAGGTCATTTCCCCCCTGAAGTCTCCTGACTCGCTGGCTCACATACTTTCCTCCCAGCCGCTCTGGTGGAATGACGAGGTGGAAGAAAAGCTTCATGCTCTCGCTCCAGTTCCATCCATCATCTGTCTTGATTCAAAAAACACACCGCTTGCTCTCGAACGAAGCTCAAGGGAATAGATGGTTCGCTTTCGTGCAGAGTTGGATCGGAAGCTTGATGCCACGCATCGTCCCTCGTCTCCTAAACATCCCCAAACGTCAAACTTTTCCTTTGACTTCTCAATCAGAAGTTTTTAACAATAATAATCCACTTTCATTGTGCTGGGTCACACCCACACATACGCTGCCATTGTGTCCCCCGTCCCTCCGAGGTCACATCCTGCACAGTGGCAGATGTCAGACGGACACAGTATCTGTCAGTCACCCGTCAGTTCAGGGCTCATCTCTATTCACCCCTCATGTTCCCTTTAACCCCTGCAGGGCCAGAGATCTTCCTCTGGGACCTGGACCTCTGGCACCCTCCGTATTTCAGGGTTAAACGTCCGCCGGTTCCCTCCTGTCCTTTATTTGGACATAGGACATTGGTGCTAGACACCAGTGGTGGGATGTAACAAAGTACTTTTAATCTCAAGTAGATTTTTAGCTTAACATAATATACTGTATCAGCAAATCTGTATTTCTACTACTTTATTGTGTTACATGATCACGTTGTTTTTTTAATAGATATTTAAAAAAATAAATCAATAATATCTGATCCAATCAGAGTGGACAGGAGATAGGGAATTAGGAAAAAGGCTACACCTTTTCTTATTTTAATTTTAAGTATATTTAAAAGCAAGTACTTAATTACTCGAAGTGGAAAAGTGAATGTGGTGCTTGGGTAGTTTTTGTGTAATGATGTTGACTGACACTAACGAACAGACAGTGGTGAATACTTCACCTCCCTGGCTGAGCTAATGAATGTATATTTCAGTGTCCATCTTCCTCCTCTGTGCTGTCCCTCTGCCCCCCCCCCCC